TCTTTCTAAAAAATAAAATAAATCTTAAAAAAATAATTACATTGTGCACATAAAGATCAAAATTTTAAATCATAAATGTTTAAAACCAATGGCAACTTTTTAATCCTTTTTTTCTATTTGATTAGGACTCAACCCATTTAGCATGGTTGATCTCTTTCTTCTCTTTGAAACTTTCTTCTTTGGGCCCAGAGTCTCCTGATTCTTTTTCCACATCTGTGGCACCTTTGGGTTTCTTCTGTGAAAAATTTATCTTCAGCCTGCCCCTTAAATGATGCCTTCCTGGGACTTTTCTCCCTCCACACCATCATCTGACCTGCTTCATCCACTCCTATGACTTTCATTCCCATGTGTTAAAGATCCTTTAACTGCATCTTTAGCCTCTGTCTCTGCCCTGGTATCCAAACCATGTGTCCATCCATTTGCTGGACATCCCACTGAACTCAACATCAGCATTTTGAGAAATGAACACAGTATCTTCTTTCGCTTTTCTTCTCTAGTATCCAACCCTGCTTTTGTACTTGTTCTTCCTACGGGGTTGGAAGGCAGGACCCTAGGCAGTTTGAGCGTTAACTCTCAAGAGTCACTCGGGGAAGGGTGAACCCAGCACCCTAATTACCTCAGTGACCTTGGGCAAGATATTTAACCTCACCAAGTCTCGGCATTCCTACCTTTAAAGTTGAAATAATAGTCCTGCTAGAAGGAATTGTGAGAATGCAGTCAGTGCAGTCAGATAATAGTACAATGCCTGCCCTGAAGTAATGAATCAGAACATATTATTTCCTGTGTGAGTGGTAGTTCACCCAAGTGGTGTGACACAAAAACTTGAACACAGACTTTGAACTTTCTTTTATCCTTACCTCTCAACATTACTCATATTCATGCAGTTTTAAAGACCTATTAGTACTGCTAAAATGTCTTGAATCTATCCACATCTTTTCCTCCCCACTCAGTGCTACTGTGCTCATCCCTTTCTGAGAAGTTTTCTGTTAATCCAGCTGCTTCATGCTTAATTTCCCTTCCATTCTTCACCTCTTCTTCTTCGTCGTCTTCTTTTGTTGAAGATTTTATTTATTTAATTGACAGAGATCACAAGTAGGCAGAGGCAGGCAGAGAGAGAGAGAGAGGAGGAAGCAGGCTCCCTGCTAAGCAGAGAGCCCAATGCGGGACTCAATCCCAAGACCCCGAGATCATGACCTGAGCGGAAGACAGAGGCTTAACCCACTGAGCCACCCAGGCTTAATCCCTTTTCGCCTCACAGCACGGAGGGAGGCATTTCCAATAGCAGCCCCACTTGCCTGTAGGAGAAAGGACAAACCCCTTAATTTAATCTGCCAGTCCCTTCTAAAACTGGCTCTATTTCCATGCCTGTTTCAGATTTCATCACTGGAGTATTGACTGCCATAGCTGTCTTGCAGAATCTTATTATAAACTCATAGGAATTCATTACTTAGAATTTGAGAAAGTAAGACACAAAAAAAGAAAAAAAACATACCCTCAATTCCCACTCTGGTTATCATTTTGGTTTTGTCCTCTAACTTTTAAAATCCGTATATGTACATAGCTGTGATCAAATTGAATATGTAGCTTTGTTTGTATGGATTTTTTTGGTTTGATTTTTTTTTAATGTGCAAATGTATGATTGTTTAAAAAAATAAAAAATAATAAGCTGCTTTCATAACTTATACCGCCATCATTTCTACCAAACACCCTGATTTCATTTCCTTTTTTATGTATGTGTTTAAATGGAAATATATAGATATTTTATAGTTTTTTCAGTAACACTGTATCATAAGCATTTTGTTTTAACATTAGCAGTATTTTGCATACCTCATATTAATGGTGGCATATTAGTGGTGATAGTAGTAGCTACCATGTGTTGAGTGAATACTGTATACCTAGCATGCAGATTGCTAATCTTAGATAATCTCCCTTTGACTGGTGAGAGAACTGTAATGACTAATAGAATACTGGACAATTCTAACATTGCTCTGCCTCTCCCATGGAAAGCTCAACATAAGGATATGTGACAGTCATTAACCAGTCTTCCCCTATTGTTGGACATTTATGGTTTCAAATTTTTCACTATTATAAATAATGTAGTTATAACTATGTGTGTATACATTTCAAATTTTTTCCTAGTGAAGGTTATTGGAAGAGAATATTTTTACAGTTTTTGATACATACTTCCAATTGCCTTCCTGAAAGGTTATACCAATTTACAGGGAGTGATTAATGCTAATGGGAAAGAAAATAGAGAAGGGGGGTGACATTTCACAGAGGTGACATTTGAGCCAGCTCGTGCAAAATGAGTGGGGCTTTGCCAGAAGTTAGGCATAGTGGTCAGAGCATTCCAGACAGGAAAGAAAGAGAGAGCAAAGGCACCAGAACGCAAGAGAGCCGTGGCCCCAAAGGAGTCAGTCTATTACCCCCTGCTTATTTGCCACCGGAAATCCTCATCATTTATTTTGTAGTTGGCAGGAAAGAGAATCAGAATAGAGTCCTTCCATATATTTAGAAACCATTTCAAATGAAAGCTCTTTTGAAGTTCTGAGACATTCATGTTCATCTGTTTCTTTTTTCCTTTCCCCCAAAGAGAACAAATCCCCTAAGGATTCTGTACAACTGGGAAAGACATGCAGCCTCTCTGGTCCCTTCTGCTTCCCTGAATTTAAAGGGGGCAAGGGCAATACATTTGACATTGGCCCTAATGTATATAGGATCCATCTCCAACCGTTCTTCTAGTTATACGCAATAAGGAGAATGTCATCAACTTCCTGCATTTGATACTGATTTTGTATCAATCTGCTTGATAAAATGTATAAAAGTAACTGGTAAAATGTATAAAAGTAACTAAAGGCTATTTTTAAGTTTAGGCCAAGTGTTAGACACTAGGGAGTCAAATTCTCCAGTAACTAGAGCTGTTGCAGATTTCAGCCTTTATCTGAGCATGGTGTATCTGCAATGCCTTCTTTCCCTGGGTGGAGTAAGCGCTGAAAGCCAAAGGGATAGAGGTGACAGGGTAAGGGAAGCCTGCTGTCTGAGCCTCCCCTGCCGCCTGGTCAGGGCAGTGGACGCTTCCCCGTGCCACTTCTCACTAGTTCTATAATCACATCTGGAAGTGAAATATGGCCAGTAAGCCACTTTGCATCATATTTTGAAGAAGGCAACTTATAAATTATAAATTAAGTAATAGAATATTTCTAAAGTTTGCAAAGTACCTTTAGGACAGAGAGGATTTTCTTTTCACATCTGATGGTTATACTGCTGGTGTGAAGATTTAGTATAGGTGGCATTTATGAAGTTTACAGAGTGTCAATTCAGCCACCTTAAAACCTAACTATGAAATAGGAATTGATGGAATTAGGGAACCATGTGGGTTACAGCCTGTTTGAAAATAAATTGTGCCTTTCTGCCTTTAAGGAAGTGTAATAATGAGCTGAAATCAAGAGTCGAATGCTTTCCTTACTGAGTCACCCAGGTGCCCCAAGAGTACTTAATCTCGTAAGATTCTTAACAAGCTATTAAGTAGATAACATATATGAAATCTAACACTGTGCCAACACCTGGAAGTAGGTGGAGGAGTCATTATCTTTGTTTTATTAATGTTATCATGGTTATTATTTTTAAACCTCAACTTTTATTCGTGCCTTGCTTGTCTTCTTCCCAATCCTAACAAAGGAAGATGTCAAATTGGAAGATTATGTCTTAAATACCATTTATCTGTCTATGAAAGGGACCCTGGAGTTTGACGATACAGAGGAAATATGCAAAGGTGTTATGATGCCCAGAGCATGAACTGTTGTGCGGTGATGAACTTGATCTGAAAGGGAAACTCCTGCCGATTCACAACAATAGTTAATATCCTAAAAATTTCTGCATTAAGAATGTGAAAATGACTGAGATCTTTATCAAAAGTTCTTACTAAAAATTTCTGGGGGTGCATGCGTGGCTCAGTCAGTTAAGCATCAGACTCTTGATTTGGGCTCAGGTCATGATCTCAGGGTCATGCAGTCAAGCCCTACGTCAAGCTCTATGCTCAGCATGCTTGGGATTTCTCTTTCTCCCTCTGTTCCTTCCTGATCCCTCTCTGTCTTGCTCTCTCTAAACAACAAACAGATTTTTCTGCATCAGATGTCAGTGGAAGTCTATGAAAAGGAAAACCCTCAGTCTGCAACTTGACATTTTTCTTCAGCAACCTCTGTCCACCTCTTGATTTTTTTAGTTAATTCTTGCAGCCTGAGATACAAAATCACTTTGCTCAGATTGCCATTATTTGACCTCTTCTTGGACAACCATCCGTTTCAGAATCTAAACTATTTTTCTATTCCTCATTCTGGCCCTGTCTGTAACAGATAGCACATTCTTTCCTGCATATTTGGATTGGAGAAATGTTTTTTAAATAGCATCTCAAGAAGTATAAAGTTGCATTATTTACTTAAAATGCTTGCATAATTTTTATATAAACCTTTTTTAAATACCCAAAGCAATTGACCATAAAAATAGCTGGCATTTAGGATTAGTTTGCATTGCTGCTACCATTGCTGTGGTATGTGAATCTTTATTTCTACCATTAATGAAGGTGAGCTGTATTTGTTTATGTTGACCCTAAAATTGTGTCCTGGAAAAAAAACTCATGTGATGTGCTGTTCTCCCATAAAATTCCTTGTTCCCTGCATTCCCATCCTTCTTCATTATGATCCAGGCTTTTATAACTTAATTCTTTCTATCCACTTCACTATCACTTACCCAGCTTCGATCACTTTACCTTCCTCTTCAATTATCTCATAGGCTTCAGTCTTCTCAAATTTATTGTTAGCTCCTGGATGAGAGGTACTGCCTTATAGCAGGTATATATTGTATGCTGTGAGTTTCAGATTGTTTCTCCATTGGTGTTTGATGGGCGTTCTCATATGCACTAGTGAACTTCATCTGTTGATTCGTATTACAACCAGTGTCTTTAATGCCACATCAGAATAAATACACACCCATTTCCTCCCCAGGTTAATCAGCTTCGTGGCATCCCCAAGCTGCTGCAGCTCCTAAAAGTTCAGAATGAAGATGTTCAGCGAGCCGCGTGTGGGGCCTTGAGAAACTTAGTATTCGAAGACAATGACAACAAGTTGGAGATGGCTGAACTTAATGGGATACCTCGGCTGCTCCAGGTGCTGAAGCAAACCAGAGACTTGGAGACCAAAAAGCAAATAACAGGTAGTGCTTACAGAATATTAAAGGATGTAGAACAGGGTACCCCAGCTGGTTATGTTATGCCATCTGTTTTTTCTTAAGCTTTCTGAAACCAATGGTTGATGAGCTCATCATTATCCGAAAGGTGGATTTCAAGGGACTATCACCCTGCTGAGTTAGACCCCAGATTCAGGTCAGGTTTGAACTCCTTTTTACCTGAAGGGGAAATTATTTTGAGCCTTTTGCTCAATATTTTCATTAAAAACTGTGACTTTGACTACATGTTTTTAAAACAACTTTGCAAGGCTCACTGCCTGGAAACCCTGCATCAGTTTACTAACGGCCAATTGTGTAGTTTGAGGATGTGTGAGCTTTCAGAATTGCCTTGGGTGTCCAAGGCATTCATTCTGAAGAGAACCAATAGGAACCACACCCAGTTATTTTTATTATATACTCCACAATCCACTCGCTGGATCTATGCAAAGAAAGCACATCAGGGCGTGCCCAAGTGTAGAGGGTCAATTTAATCAAATATTCAAAATGCAAGAAATGTTGTTTCCCAATCCTTCCATTGTCTGGACCCCTCAAAATACCTGCTCCCTAGCCCACCTGTCCCTGCACCCTAAAAAAAAAGAAAAAAAGATGAGAGTAGCTGGTTGTGTTTTTTAGTTGGTCCGAAGGTTGTGGGTTATTGTTAAACTGCCCAAGAGATTAAAAGGATGAAATAACCTGAGAGCATTAAAGCAACAGTTTTAGTAATCCTTGAAACATAGAGAAGAGAGATCTAGTTTCATTTAATGAACATTACTTACGGTAGAGGAGAAAATATTTCATTGATGTTCAAGTTCACCTTCCTCGCCATCATCATCAGCTCCCCGCTGGTGCTCCCTGCACACATTGCAGACAGCAGTTGTCAGTAGGATTGCCCTGGGGAAACTTTAATTAAGTAGCATCAGTGGCCCAGGTGGTAAACATACATTTTTAATTTAATTATCACGGAAAGGTTTTGAGGTATTTTTAGGTATTATTGGGTGATTAAATCTCACTTTTATAGATGAGGAAAGTAAAGCCCAAAGAAGTTAACCCTTTTTAATATATCCTATAAGAGTCCTTTTAAGTAATAATGCTTGAGAGTGTTATTTATTTTCAAGGGAGGTATTTCACAAATACTATTTTAAATTGAATATATTCCACACCTCTGCCATCCCCACTTTACCATAGAGCAGTTCTTTTTTTCTGTAGAAATGTTGTCATTCTATCTTCTCTCCCCATTTATATCTTAAAATAATCACATATTTTTCTATCTTGCTATATTTTAATTTTATAAATCTATATGAAGGGTCATACCATGCTGTCCTTCCGCCAGCATGCTATCATGTCCCATGAAAAATTTCCTTCCATATTTGTGAATTACATTAAAATACCTACAGAAATTAGGAGTGATCTTACTCGTTCATTGATTCATTCATTCATTCAGCCGGTATTTATAGGGCTGCCTTCCAGTGCCAGGCAATGAGAATCAGTCTAGAGAGGTTGTAGATGTTCTCTTCCCTCTACTAAAAGATGAACAATTATGTGATGATAGGCACATTAAAAAAAAAACAAAACAAAAGCCATACCTCATAATTATAACCTAACATTTCCTTCATTAAAATATAGTAATGACAACCATAAGAGAGAATCAAACAGATAAACTGTTCTACAGTCAAAAAAAGAGTTCACAAAGGAGATATGTTTCCTTGTGGACTTTAAAAAAAGGCTAGGATACCCATTTACTGGTGTTTTGAAGGAGAAAGAAAGTTATTCCCAGCAAAGTGAACATCATTAGCAAAGCAAAAAAGCAAAAAGAAGCTGCTGGTCATTTAGAGGGAGTTGTATAATAGAGTACTGAGGTTAGGGTGTATTGTAGCTAGAGAGCTTGGGAGGATTTGTGGGTGTGTGTCAAGGAAGTAATCCATTGAACCACACTTCCTCGTTTTTGTTCTGCTGATAGGAAACTACCGTCAGAGAACATTCTGTGGAATTAATGCCATAGGAACTGTTATCTTTAGATAACTTACAGAGCTGATAAATAGAGGTTTATTGTGCAATTTCTCACGATTTCTAGAACAAGCCAAACACACCTACCAGAGGGTGCTCATTACATGCTAATTGAATTGAGTTGATACTTGAATGTTTGATACAAATCCTTCCAAATAACTTCCTGTAGCTCTATTAATAGAAACAGCTAAGTAAGTGCTTTCAGGACCTTAGAAATAAATTGTTGACTTAATGTAGACCTGTTTATATCTTTGTTTAGAAACACAAAGTGAACAACCATATATGTGAATCTTTTCTTATCTATTTGGTGAATATCTTTTTATTGAGCCCCTTTTACGTGCTAGTCCCTAAGTTAGGACTTTACGTTTTGCATCTTTGTGTCCCCTGATATCTCCTTAAGGCATTATTGATGGTTGCCACATGATCAGCAGGGGGAAGCTGATTGCCCAGGATTACACAACTGACAGAGCACAAGGCCCAGATGCGAACCTAGCTTTATCTGGGTGTTTTGCTCTGTGAAAGTGGCTCCCACCTACTGTTTTGAGGGCAGAGAGTGGCTCATTTTTACACTTCTTTGGGAAAGGGTTTGTCTTTAAGAATCTCAGATCAAGAGCTCTTTCCCACTTCTCTGAGCCTTCCTCTCTCCCCACTTACCACTGGCATGCTTCAGTCGTCTTTACGCCTCTGGTTTACTATTGCAGTTGCTTCTTACCCGTCCTCTGATTCAGTATTGTGCATTCCCACTCGATTCACCACTCTGAACCTAGTGATTTCTTTCTAATATGAAAATACTGCCCTACTGTACTCCCCATTAGCTCTAAGACAGAGTGCATGCTGTGGAGTATGCCACGCAAAGATTTTATAATGTGAGCCAGGTGACCAGGGGCAGCAGTGTTTCCTCTCATACTCTTCCAGCCCAAGTTCTAAAATCCTAGAGGATTAGCTGGTCTGTTCCATGTCTTGGTGTCTTTGTCTCTACTGTCTCTTGGACTAGAATCCTTTTCCACACCTTGATCACCTGGTGAATCCTCTCATCCTTCGAAAGGCGTCTTTTCCTCTGAAGCATTTTCAGACGCGATCCTATCATACTTTCCTCCTGTCTCCCGCCATCCCCCCCAGCTGAGTTTTGAAAGAGGGGGCTCCTAATGAACTACTTCTGCATCCTTTAATATTAGGATGTCACTTATTTCATGCCTGTATGTTTATTGCAGTAAAAACAGTGCTACTCTTCTAAGTTTCTCAACAGCTATGGCTGTATGACTGACTATATAAAGGAGAGTTGTGGGGGCTTCCGGGTGGTTCAGTCTGTTAAGTGTCCGACTCTCAGTTTCACTCAGGTCATGATCTCAGGGTCCTGAGATTGAGCTCCATGTCAGGCTCTGTGCTTACTGTGGAGTCTGCCTCAGATTCTCTCTCCCTCTCCCTCCTACTCACTCTCTCTCAAATAAATAAATAAAATCTTTGGGGTGCTTGAGTGGCTCAGTTGGTTAAGCGTCTCCCTTCAGCTCAGGTCATGATCTCAGGGTCCTGAGATCCAGCTCTCTGCTCAGTGGGAAGCCGACTTCCTCTCCCTCTGCCCCTCCCCCTCACTCATGCTTGATCTCTCCAGTGCTCCCTCCCTCTCTCTCAAATAAATAGTTAAAGAATCTTAAAAAATAAATAATTAAAATCTTTTTTAATGAAAAAAGGGAGACTTGTGACCTGGGAATATCTGGATTACACACAAATAAGAGAATCAAGTGTGTTTTTAGATAAGACCCTGATTTTTCTGGCCAAGATATGAAGCAGTTAACCATCTGATTTCTATATATGCATAAAAGAAGCTGCAGAGCTTTGTTTATGGGGAAAGAACATCAACTCACTGACCTTCCTGGCATTTTCAGTACCAGCCTAGGAGGAAGCCCTTTCCTTTTCAGATAAAAAGACTTGAGGATCAAAGAGTTTCCCTCTGTGAGATTATTCCCCCTCCCTTACCAAGTGAGCATGGTAATGTACTTTAATTGAAATGAGAACAGTACATACTGATCTCAGAGGTTCATCTTCAGGGTCACCGAGTGATGAGCACTTTCAGGAGTGAGTAGGGCTCTGCCTTGGTAAGAATAAAGCAGGAGATTCTTGTCCTTCTGCTTGTTACATAAGGAAGGGTCAGGATGATTGTTGATGAAATTTGTTGAAAATGCATATTGAATTCTGCATATTTTATGGAAATATTTAATAGTATTGCTGTATTTTAGTAGCAGAAACATTCTACTTTAAAATATTCATTATGCACCTTTTAAAAATATATTTTTTTCTGCCTTTGTAAAGTGCAACAAGTTACCTTGGGTTCATATATAACTTGGACTAAATGGCCTTTGCAATAGTGTGGTATTTCAGGTAAGATTTGCAAAACTTAGGTGAAAGGAGCATATCCATGCAAGGGAAATTATTTAAAAAAAAAAAAAAGAATCCTCCTGGGGCGCCTGGGTGGCTCAGTGGGTTAAAGCCTCTGCCTTCAGCTCAGGTCATGATCCCAGGGTCCTGGGATTGAGCCCCACATCGGGCTCTCAGCTTAGCAGGGAGCCTGCTCCCCCCCACCCCCCCGCCTGCCTCTCTGCCTACTTGGGATCTCTGTCAAATGGATAAATAAAATCTTAAAAAATAATAATCCTCCTGTGACCATTTTGCAAAATGAGGCTAAAACACACCAGTTCTCCTTTTCCTCTTCCTGCTCCTCTTTCTCCTTCTGTACTGATAATAAGGATTCATTTAATCATAATACTTGCAGATTTTGCTATCAAAGTATCATGCAGACTTTGCTAAATAACTATATTTCTAGTCCTAAAGGACAATATTATAAAACATGGATTTTAATATCTTACAAGATCCCTTTACTAAAGTTAGCTATTTTTTGCAAATATCACAGTTGGCAATAAATTTCTGGATAATGCAGTTATTATTATCTCTGTTGTAAGTGCTAATTATTCAAAGTATATCCCTTACCAGAATCCATTTCTCTTTCTTTTTGGCTCAAATGAGAACTTAGTGATAGAAAATGACAGGCTTATCAGCTGCAACAAAGAACTATAATAGAGATCTGGGTGCTATGAATAAATTAACTAGAAATTAAAGGTGAGACCAATGAAAACCTAAACCCTAATACTATCTCGAGGCATCTAGAATCAGGTCATTGAAAGGAACCTCTATCAAGGGTCATTTGGTCTGTTTGTTTCTCAATGCCAGAAATGGGAATCATTTTTTTTAAGTAAACCCAGTATGGGACTCAAATTCATGACCCTGCATTTAAGAGTCGTGCACTCTACCAACTGAACCAGCCAGGTACTCTGGGAACCTTTTTTTTTAATTTTTAATTTTTAAGATTTTATTTATTGACAGAGACACCATGAGAGAGGGAACACAGGCAGGGGAGGTGGGAGAGGGAGAAGCAGGCTTCCCACCAAGCAGGTAGCTTGAAGCAGGGCTCAATCCCAGGACGTTGGGATCATGATCTGACCCAAAAGCAGACACTTAATGACTGAGCCACCCAGGGGCTCCTATTGGGAATCATTTTTAAAATACAGATTCCTAAGATCCATTCTGAGATTCTGGCTAGTGAATTTGGGATGTGGCCCAGAAATATGTGATTCAGATATGCCACGAGTTTCATTTAGAAACTGCTAGTCTAGTGTAGCACTCTAGCTTTGGGATAAAAAACCCCTTGTCAATGTTTCCCCAAAGGATGAGCTCATTTTTTATCAGCTCCAGCGATAGAGCTGGATCTTACAAGCAGATCTTTCTCTTTCCTTCAAAGCTCTCTTAGAAGTTTGTATTTCCAGTGAGCTAGAATCTTTTTCCCTAGAATTTCCACTCATTAGTTCTGGTTTTGCCTTCTTATAGTCACACACACACACACACACACACACAAAGATATCTAGGTGTTAAATCTGCATTTCTTTCATTACTATGTGTATTAGATTCTAATATTTTTTAGCTTGGATTAATTTTTCAAGCAATTGAAACTTTAGTGACTTATAAGAACTCTGTATTAAGGAAATTAACCTTGTATTGTCATACGTATTTTCCCATTCCGTAGTTGGTCCTTTATTGATTTTGTATGTACATGTAGGAGGAATGTTTTAAGTATGTGTAATCTCGAATCTCTAGTGAACACTTAAGTTCCTTCCTAGCTTCGTGCCATACAAAAATTTGGCAGGCATGATATTTCTATAAGATATCCTACGTTAAAAATTCAAAAATTATACTCACACTCCCAAACCGGATTCTTTTATAGAAGTAATACCACATGCCAAGCTATAAAGGACATCCGACTTTTGAAGGAAAATTCCACTCCCTTTGTTTAAAATTAATCCTCTTCTGGTTTTTATTGTAAGGTATACTTTTCCTTTGAGTGCCGTGTGTGGTCCTTTTTAAAAAGGAGGAAATGTCATTATGCTTTACATCTTTAAGCCTCTGGCAAGCAGAGACTGTTAATTTGTTTATTTATTTAAAATAGGAAGCTATTTTTTTTTTCCTTTTCTCTCTTTTCTTCTTAACTTTCTTTAGTGGCTTAGTAACCACGCAACTCAACCTCACACCTGCCTCTAAATTGTTTTCAGCCACCTTTGGAGTTTTATTCTGTCACTCCCCCATCCAGTGCCCCTCAAGATGAAGTGGGAGTAATGAAGTAATTGTGTTGCAAATCCTGAGACTGAGAGACGCTGCTCCTGGCTAAACCCCAAAGCCAGTTGGAGCAGGAGAAGACCTCCTCCTGAGCCAGAATGCTGGGCCTCGCCAGACACTAGACCCAGTGTCACTCTATCTGACGGAAGCTCAGCGTAGGCTGCAGTGGAAATTTGGTTATCGTTTCAGAAATTACGTACTGGTACACAGCCAAAGTAAACTGATGAAGGTCAGGAGACTGTGTCTGGCCTCGAGTGTTCTAAATGGTGGGCCAAGTATTAGTATGGTCGAATAATTTGCACACTTTAACTGCACAGATGATTATTTCAGTCATTAAAATCAGGGCTGATGTTATCACCACTGAATTAAGCCCCGCCCCCACCCGAAAGAGCACCTTTGCTTTTTTCACTGAGTAGACAGTCCTGTATACCAGTGCTTCCTCTTTCTTTTTTGCAGACAAAGCAGTACATTTTAAAAGTTGGAATTAGGTGGCGCCTGGGTGGCTCAGTGGGTTAAAGCCTCTGCTTTCGGCTCAGGTCATGATCCCAGGGTCCTGGGATCGAGCCCCACATCGGGCTCTCTGCTCGGCGGGGAGCCTGCTTCCTCCTCTCTCTGACTGCTTCTCTGCCTACTTGTAATCTCTGTCTGTCAAATAAATAAATAAAATCTTAAAAAATAAAAAAATAAAAGTTGGAATTACTGACTGGGTGGTGAGGGGAATGAATAGGGAAGAAAATGAAGATCCCTTCTCTTTCAGCCCCTTCTCTCTCTCTGCCCTCCTGGATGCTAGTGAGTTAGTCATTTACTGAGGTGTGAAGGAAGGTAAGGCAACTTTACCCCTCCTGGGAGTCACTGGAATAGCCAGCAAGAGGGGCGTGGTCCTTGCACTGAATCTGAAGTATTTGAATGCCTCATTTGTAAGAGAATCAAATCCTCAATGTATGTGCCACTTTGCATTCTTTCTGAGATACCCAGCTTCAGCCTCTGTCTCACAGATGCCCTGGAAGGTACAGTACGCTGTTATCTTCATTTCTTTCAGTGTTGGCTAATATAGCCTTTCTCTTTAATGGCGGGTCAGGGGAGAGGTTTCAAGAGGAAAGGGAAGTTGAATGAGACAGTGGTACCAGCCTTAGACCAATGCTTTAGGCCATACACGTTGGCAAATTGATCAAATACTCTTGTATCTCCTTCACTGCCAAACCGTAATATAGGAAATACACGAGGTATCTAGCATAAATTCCAGGAGGACAGAAAGTCTACCATTGGGTAGGATTTAATAAATATTAACTGGCGATGTTGATCAGCCTACTGGAGACAGGTGTGGGTATAGGCAAAGGTTTTCCATGGGCCCTTCCTGCTCTCACTGGGTGGCAAATATCGGGCAGAAGTTGCAGGTAGTGGGGAGCAGGAGGCAGAGGGAAATATTCTCTCCCTGTTTCTACAGGAGAAAAAAATACGACCCTTTAAAAACACTGAAGTCTTGGTCTTGTGGTTGTGAGTTCGAGGCCCACATTGGGTATAGAGATTTTACTTTTTTTAAAGATTTTATTTATTTATTTGATAGACAGAGATCACAAGTAGGCAGGCAGAGAGAGAGGAAGGGAAGCAGGCTCCCCGCCAAGCAGAGAGCCCAATACGTGGGACTCTATCCCAGGACCCTGGGATCACAGCCTGAGCCCAAGGCAGAGGCTTTAACCCACTGAGCCACCCAGGCACCCCTCGAGATTACTTTAAAAAAAAAAAAAAAAAAAGTTAAATCTTTTTTTTTTTAAACTAAGTAAATAAAAATAAAAACATTGAAGTCTTGGGGTGCCTGTGTGGCTCAGTGGGTTGAGCCTCTGCTTTCGACTTGGGTCATGATCCCAGGGTCCTGGGATCGAGCCCTGTGTCGGGCTCTCTGCTCAGCGGGGAGCCTGCTCCCCCTCCCTGCCTCCTGCCTCTGCCTACTTGTGGTCTCTCTCTGTCAAATAAATAAAATCTTTAAAAAACAAAACAACAACAACAACCAAACTACATTGAAGTCTTTATTAAAATAGGATAATTTTCAGCCTGTGTATTGGTGAGACCAGAATTTATTCTCTCAGTGAGGTCAGCCTAATGGTAGGATCTTTTAAGAGAAACAACATAAATGTTAAAGGATTTCTTTAACGGTTAATTTAAGCTGGCATACTTTTATATCATGAATCTCTCTCTCTCTCATTACGGATCAGCTTCATTGCCATCTAACAAACTCAAAACCGATTCTTTTGGTTGGAAAAGTTCTGTCTCCCTCCCCCTTTTTTCCCAATAGCTAGCCACAGCCTGGGGGGTATGGGCTCTAATGCATCTTTTCAGCAGTCATTTGACTCATCCCTGCACTGTTTTGATAGTACTCTTTGCTTTTCTAGGTTTGCTGTGGAATTTGTCATCTAATGACAAACTCAAGAATCTCATGATAACAGAAGCCTTGCTTATCCTGACTGAGAATATCATCATTCCCTTCTCGGGGTGGCCAGAGGGAGACTACCCCAAAGCAAATGGTTTGCTTGATTTTGATATATTTTACAACGTCACAGGATGCTTAAGGTAATGCCACTCTACAGATCTTTTTTTCTGTATACCTTACATACTGCATCTGGGTTTCTAAAGCTCTACCTCATTACCTGGAGATCTCGTGCTTCCCTTCCTCTCTCTCTGCCTGCCTACTTGTGATCTCTGTCGGTCAAATAAATAAATAAAATCTTAAAAAAAAAAAAATCTCTATACCCAATGTGGGCCTCGAACTCACAACCACGAGACCAATAAAAATTATAAAGGTCCTTCTAAATATAAGAAGCACAAGAAGCGTGTCCTTTCCCATTGTTACCAGTGGGGCGTGTGGAGACAATGAGAAAGGGAAAGTAAGAACAGAATATTGTTTCTAGGCAAGTTTGATTTTGTCAGCGACCCACATTAGCTCACAAGAGAGAGGCTATCAGTTCCAATAAAGAAAACAGAGATGTGATCTGAATACCCAGAATCCCAGGCAGACAGGCCTTCTCTATCTCCCAGGGTTCAACATAGGCTCCATGATATTTTTTAATTTACAAAAATCTAATTGACTGATATGGTTAAAATATCATTTTAAACCTAGTGCTTTTATTCTTCTATCTTATACATTATACTAGTCATAATGATTCAATATTTGTATATATTGCAGTCACCACAGTAAGTTGAGATAACATTCATTGGCATGCACTGTTACAGAATTTCTTTTTTCTTGTGTGGAGAACTTTTAAGACTTTTCTCTCTTAGCAACTTTCAAATATGTAATATAGTATTATTAACTATAGTTATAGTTAATAATTTATTCTTCAGGATTGACTAAGTTGTTTATGGCATATGAAAAATTTATCTCCTTTATGGTTTATTTCGACTTCGTTATTTTATGACTAGAAATTGTAGCTTATGACAACTTTTACCCATTTTGCCTACCCCTCTTGCTTCTGACAATCCAACCAGTTCTCTGTATCCATGAGTTTGTTTTTGTTGTTAAGTAATCTCTATACCCAACATGGGGCTCAAGCTTACAACCCTGAGATAAAAGTCACATGCTCCACCAACTGAGCCAGCCAGACACCCCATAACCTTGGTTTTTTGTTTTGTTTTGTTTCTTTTAGATTCCATTTATAGATGAGATCATATAGTATTTGTCTTTCTCTGTCTGATTTATTTCACTTAGCATAATGCCCTCAAGGTCCATCCATGATGTTGCCAGTGGCAATATTTCATTCTTTGTTGTTGCTGAATAATATTTTCTATATATATATATATATATACATACATACACACACACAGATACCTATGTGTGTATATATATATCAGATTTTATCCATTCTCTTGTTGAGAGATACTTAGCTTGATTTCTTTGCTATTATGAATAATGTTTCAGGGAGCATGAGGGTGCATATATATTTTCAAGTTAGTGTTTTCCTTTTCTTTGAATAAATACCCAGAAGTGGAATTGCTGGATCATATAGTAGTTCTGTGTTCGATTTTTTTGTAATGTTTTCCACAGTGGTTGTGCCAACTTAACATTCCTACAGGCACTGCACAAGGGTTGCCTTCTCTCTATATCCTCACCAACACTTGTTATTTCTTGTCTTTTTGAGGATAGCCATACTAACAGGTGTGAAGTGATATCTCCTTGTGGTTTTGATTTGCACTTCCCTGGTGATGTTGAACATTTCTTCCTGTGCCTGTTGGCCATCTCTGTATCTTCTTTGGAAAACGTCTATTCAGATCTTCTGCTTATTTTTTAATCAGATTGTATTTACTATTGAATTGCATGTTCTTCATATATTTTTGGATATTAACCCCTTATCAGATATATGATTTGCAGGTATTTGCTCCCATCCCATAGGTGGACTTCTCATTTTATTGATGGTTTTCTTTGCTGTGCAAAAGCTTTTTTGGTTTGACACCATTCCACTTCATGATTTTTGCTTTTGTTACCTTTTTTTTTTTTTTTTTTTTTTTTTTGGTGTCAGATCCAAAAAATAATCACCAAGATTGATGTCAAAAAGCTTACTGCCTATGTTTTCTTATAGCAATTTTATGGTTTCAGGTCTTATAGCCAAGCCTTTAATCCATTCTGAGTTAATTTTGGTGTATGGTGTGAGATAGTGGTCTAGTTTCATTCTTTTGCATGTGGCTACAGTTTTCTCAGCACCGTTTATTAAAGAGATTTACCTTTCTCCTTTCTCCACTTTCCCCAAGTATTCTTGACTTCTTTGTTGCAAGTTAATTGACCATATCTGCCCAAGTTTATTTCTGGGCTCTTTAGTCTATTGCAATGATCTTTGTGTTTGTTCTTATGCCAGTACAACCTGCTGTTTTGATTACTAGAGCTTTGTAATATAGTTTGAAATCAGGGAGTGTGATGCCTCTGGCTTTCCTCTTCTTTCTCAAGACTCTTCGGTTATTTGGGATCTTTCGTGATTTCATACAAATTGTAGAGTTGTCTGTTTGATTTCTGTGAAAAATGTGTTTGGAAACTTCATAGGGATTGCATTGACTCTGTAGACTGCCTTGGGTAGAATGGACAATTTAAATATATTAATTCTTCCAATCCATGAGTATGGTATATCTTCCTCTTTATTCATGTCTTCAATTTGTTTCATCAGTGTCTTATTGTTGTTAGTATAGAGTTCTTTTGCCTACTTAGCTAAATGTATTCCTAGATGTTTTTAAATAGCTGTAAGGCAACAAAACCTAAAGGGACAGAAAGTTTCGCCATAAGAACAGCTACCAAAGAAGTTAATTTGATCAGCTTTTCTAAATAGTGGGATGAAAAAGTGCTTGAAATATTTTCTCCTTTGGACTGTCAGATGCCAGCTAAATCAAGAGAAAATAGAAGTACATGCAGGAGGAAGAAAAATGCTAGTCTGAACTTATCTAAGATCATGCATCTCAAGCTTTCTTATATTTGAAAATAATCATTGTGCTTTACGTGCAAGGATTAAAAGAAATCAAATGGAAGATATAATCAAGGGGCACCTGGGTGGACTAAGTCAGTTAAGCATCCAACTGTTGACTTCAGCTCAGATCATGATCTCAGGGTTGTGAGATTGAGCCCAGGCTCCACATTTGTGCTCTCTCTCAAAAAAAAAAAAAAAAAAAAAAAAAAAAGATGTAATTGAATTAGGCAGCCCATGAGAGGTTATAATATATTCCGCTTTTGATATTTTCTCTAGTTACAGTTCATTTTTTGAGGGAATCTAGATGGTAAGTAAGAGAATTTATTATGGTAAAATATTTATCTTATCTCCATAGTTAATCAAACACCGTATCAAAATACCAATTTTGTATAAGCTTTTATGTTACTTATGGAGAATTCACAAAGATGAATAAGAAAATCCTTAGGGAACTGTTAACCTACCAGGGGCTACAGATGAGCAAAGGAAAGAGAACACAGCTTATGATGAAATATGTTAGACCAATGGCTCCTGGAGCATTACCACCTGCACCACGTGGAACCTGTTAGAATCCTCGGGTTCCACCCCAGACCTTCTGATCAGAAACTCTAATGGAGGGGAGGGGGCAGCAATCTAGTTTTAACAAGCCATCCAGGTGATTCTGATGCAGCTGAACCATGGTGTCAGAGGTACAAGGGAAGTGCTGCAGGAATACAAAACAAAGGACCATTCATGCCAGCAGAGTGGAATCAGAAAGATGCTATAGAAGAGGTGCCAAATGAACTGGGCTTTGGTGGATTATTTCAACAGTCAGAAATTCTCTAAGGACTAGGGACTCAAATCCTTGAACAGCAGAAGAGGTGCCTAAACGGTCTCTTTGACTCCATCTTCTGTACAGTTTGCTAGATCTGCTTTTTTATTGCACTTTTGATCTAATAACACATTTTGATCTATTTCAAAACATTTTGCATCTCAGAATTTCTCTGTAGCTCCCATTGCCGGACTGTGTTACATCAGAGTTCTTAAAGTATCAGTCAGGACTCTTTCAACTCAAAATGAGATTTTCAAACTTGCTAAAGCCAAGTAAGGATTCATTGGCTCATGTGGGTGAGATGTTGATGGTCACTTGTGGAAGGGAAGGAAGTGCACTAGGAACCATGACCTCAAGGACTAGGACAGAAACTCAACATTCATGGGACTCTGTTTTTAAATTTATATCTCTTCTCCACTTGCTCTTCTTCTTTCATATGTTGGGCTCATTCTCGACAAATGTGAACAAGCCTGTGTATTCCTTTTACTTTAATCCCTAATGCCTAGCAAACTTCTGGCATACAGTAAGCAACTATAAAGTATTGAATGAAAAAAATAAAAGAAGGAATGACCAAATGGAAATGCCTGATGAACTGAGTGCATAATCAAGTCTGGTGAGAGCATCAGATTTGAGATGGGAAGTAATCAAACAGAAGTTGGAAACATAGGCTAAGGTCTGATTGTGGGGGCCTTGAAGGTCATGTTAAGGAGTTAATTTTTTTCTTCTATAAGCAAGATTATCTAGGGTGGGAGGATAGAAATATGAAGTTCTGTGTGAAGAGTAATTATAATATTAACAGGAAAGGTGTATTGAGAAGGTGAATAATGTAAGAAAGACAAAGATGTTAGTTTCAAATCTTCCTGCTGTTTTTCCTTATGAATGAGGAATAAAAGACTTGGATGGTTTGAGTGAAGCATGCCTTAGCTGACACACACATTCCAGAAGATGTGATAGCTGAATACACTCCCACCAGTATGACACCATTTTAGTGTTTGCAAAGCCAATTCAAACCACTGATTTGAACTACTTTTAGAAGCAGAATATAACAAAAAAATCTACCAAATTGAATGCCAGTAGTACATGCTTCAATATGTCTTATTTCATTTGTGTATCTAATTTGCAATAATAATAGCTGACATTTATTGTATATTATGTTCTAGAAACTTCTGAATGCTTTATGAGAATTTTCTTAGTTTATTATTACAGTAGGCCTTGTAAAACAAGATTTCCCCATTTTATAGTTAAGGGGTTCAGATAGGTAAAGTGGCATTTCCAACATCATGCAGCTAGCAAGAGACAGCTGAAATTCAAATCCAGGA